AAGTTCAGTATGCCAGACTTCACTGGATGATATTTTATCTGTGTGTGTGTGTGTGTGTGTGTGTGTGTGTATTGGTCTGTATGTGTGTGTGTGTAAGTATGTATATGTTTATGTATGTGTGTATTTATGTGTATGTATATATAAGTGTGTGTATTTGTGTGTATACATTTACATATAGTATATCCTAAAGCAACAAGAAAATGACCTCCTTCCTCCATGGGGGCCAATTTCTCCCCCCAAATTTTCCTTCAAAGAAGCCAACAAGAAGTCAAATAGAGTTGCTTTCAACTTTAAGAGAAGTTGAAAAAAAATAATTTGGAGTTGCATGTTCAGCAGCTTTTTGCTGACTTAGCTCAGAAGCATAGTCCCATTGTCATGAGATTTTTTTGCCATCTTCAACATTTATCTTAGGACTTAGACTTGAATGAAATTCAGAGAAGATAATGATTTTTCCAGATCTTCCTCCACAGACAGTTTAAAAGTAAAAGCTTTCTTTTTTGGGAGTGAGGGTGGGGGGAGGGAACTTGCCAAGCAGCAAAACAAAAAGGGCTAAAGTTTTTGGTTTTTTGTTTGTTTGTTTACCCCTGATGTGAAAATGTTTTATAATCCAGCCACAGCTGAGAAATTCACTTGTGGGAGAAAAGGAAAGGAAATAGCATTAATTGTATTGATTTTTTAAAATTTGCTACAGTATAGCTTAACTCAGGGTGGAGTTCATAGTGCACTCTACCAGAAGTCCTAATGGGATTTTGTTTGTTGGAAGGCAGGGTGTGTTAGATTTTAGTCATTTTGTATTCTTATTTTTCTTTTGGAAGCTTCTCATACACTGAGAGTTCTGTTTTTATTTTTTACTACTATACTTTGCATTTTGTTTTTGTTTTGTTTTTTATTTTTATTGTTTTATTAAATTCTTAAAATATCATGTTAGCCTTTTGTGTGTGTGTATGTGTATGCATGGCTGGATAGTGTAGTGGTTAGAGCACCGCCCTTTGATATGGGAGACCTGGGTTCAAATCCCAGCTGGTACCTACCTTACCAGTAGGGGTCTTTGGGCAAAGACCCCCTAAAGCTTCACCTGTCTACCTCAAATATGAGAGTGACACAAACTAAGAGAGTCATGCCAGCTCGGATGTCGCCTGAATTAACAAAGTCCGTGTCAGATGTTGGGGAGCCAGGACAATCTGACAATAAGTGGGCTACTGAAACAAACCCATATATGGATGAGATAAGAGAACCTGGAATTGATGGAATGCTACTACAACAGTAGATCTAATGAGAGGGGATGTATGAAATGTATGAAGGAACTATGGATGGACAGAAGACCTACATCCACACTAACTGAGAAACAGCTAGGTACCCAACACTTCAACATAGTGAAGAGGAAGCAGCTCTCACAATTTGAGATAGACCAACTACACATTACATCCTGGACTCAAGAAGACCCAGAAGAACAACT